TCCTCCTCCTTTTTTTTTTTTTTAAGCTCCCACATATGAGTGATCTCATGTGGTATTTTTCTTTCTCTTTCTGGCTTACTTCACTTAGAATGACATTCTCCTGGGGCATCTGTGTTGCTACAAATGGCATTATGTCGTCATTTTTTATGGCTGAATAGTATTCCATTGTATAAATATGCCACAGCTTCTTTATCCAGTCACATTAGGTACTTTCACAACGTTGTGCCTCATCATCGCATATAGTTCTGAAATACGTTCATCACCCCAAGCAGAAGCTCTGCACCTGTCGAGCAGTGCTTTCCCTCCCCCATCTCTGAATTTACCTGAACTGGCCGTTCCCCTAAGCAGACCTCTACAGCATTTGTGATCCTGGGTCTGGCTCGTCTCCCTCAGCACCATGTTTTTGAGGTTCATCCATGTTACAGCGCGTCGTAACGTTGCTCTCTTTCTGGCTGCGTGATGTTCTCGCACCCTGTTTCGTGTGTCTGTCTGTTGGTGAACACCTTTGTTTTCTCCGGCTTTGGGCTATTTTGAATAGTGTTGCTGTGAGCATTTTGGGACAGATGTCTCAGACGTGCCTGTTTTTAGTTGTTCGGGTTGAGACTAGCAGTGGAATTGCTGGGTCATCTGGGAATTCCGTGTGCAGCTTTCTGGGGCGGCACCAGCTCTTTTCAAGGCAGCCACTTTATTCTGCGTCCCTGCCACAGTGCATGATGAGGGTTTCAGTTTCTCCACTTCCTCACCAGCACTGGTTACAGTCCGGCCTCCTAACTGGAGCCCCCCCATGGCGGGTGTGGGGTGGCCCTCGTCGGGGTGTTGGCGGCGGCTGTTGCTGGCCAGCAGCCCTGTGCGCTCCAGCTGGAACCATGTGCCTCTGCGTCCGGACCCTGGTGGTTTTGTCCCCAGGTGCCTTTGATACAGGAGCTCCTAAATCTGCTCCCTTCCCCTGAGCTATGCAAGAAGCACTGTTTACTGGAAGTCATGGGAAATTGCTGATTCTATTGAAGGGCAAAATAGGCAGAACTAATGAGAAGGGTGACTGGACTCTGGAAGAATTTGGAAATGGCACGAAATGAGACTTGTGAAAACACCAGGCCAGTATCGCTCAGGGTGCCACAGTATTATCGGGGAGGGGGGACCCTGCATTGGCCTTATATGTGCCTTCCGGTATTTCTCACGGCCTTGCGTCATTATACGGCTTTTTTCCAATCAACTTAAATTTTTTTTTTACTTTAGAAAGGAGTTCTGATAAGAGTTAAAACGAGAAACGTTCTTTTAGACTGTGTCGCGTTTGGGAGAGGGTCCGATGACGTACGTTCACCTGGGGCATCGCCTCCTGTGGGGTAGGGAGCCTCCAGTGACGCTCCGTGCCCTGGAAGCCATGCAGCAGTCTTGCGAGACATCCCACATTCTGAAACTCTGCACGCTTTGCTTAGGGCGGATGTATCGATGCACCGTTGCCCACTTTGTTTTTTATATTGATCACCTAAGAACGGCGTGACGTGCGTGACCCCCCCGCCCCCAGGTGGTGTTATATTGTCAAAGTTTTGTTTTATAGGGCGACTCTCAGGGTGCTGAGCCCCTGGGACAAGCTGGGCCTGGAATGAGGCCTACGGTCGATGGCAGTGCCTTGTGGCCCCACTGGCCCTGCTGGGTGCCCTTCTGCCAGTGGGGCCTCCCAACGCCCAGTGGAGCCTGCATTTTCGTCTTGACTGACTGCGAGCTCAGCTAAGTAAGGGAGAGGGAGCAGCGTTTGCCGCTTTCAAGCCCTGCGGGTCGAGGCTGCGCGTCTCCACAGGTTGTGTGTGTGCCCTGTGAACACCCGCCCCCGCCAGTCGCAGCCCTGGAGGGCTCCCTGTGGGAGGCAGGTGTCACCTTTGCTGGTCTGCAAACTGGATTTTGTCAGTAAACTAAGTTGTGCCAATAGTACTGTTGAAATTCACGGGAGACAGCCATGTAAGCTAGGGAATCGGTCTATTTCTTGGTGGTGAGAAGTATGTGTAGCCGTCTCCCCCCAGAGGGAAGTGAGACCAAACATAGATGCTGTGTGGCCACCTCCCTGGTTTCCGCCCTCAAAACAGACACCTGTGCTGGCCCCGCCCCCGCCAGCTGCTTGGAGCTTGTTGTGGTTCAGGCTGCTTTTCATTTTCCTTCACATCCCTGATGGGGTCCGAATAGTGGAGTTTAACACACAGAAGCTAAGGGCATTGCGGGCCGCCAGGTGCGGGTGCTGATGCCTTCCTTGGTTGGCTCCATGGCACCTCCTGCATGTCTGGATTTGCTGCTACTTCTCCATAGATCCAGGCCGGGAGGGTCGACCCCCAGCTGTGCCTTCCGGGCCCGGCCCCAGGAGCGGGGAGCTTGTGTGGTCGGGTTGCCTGCTTGTCATTAACTGTGTGCCAGGTGGGTATGTTTGCTCTGACCTGGGGTGCCCCACGTTGTCTGGGGAGCACGGAGGGGAAGAGCCCGTCTCGGTGGCCTGCTGGGCACCACGCTGGGACACAGCGCCCTGAGACGGCTGTGGTCCCTGTTGTCCCTCATGGGGGCAGCAGCGTGGGCGGGGGGACACAGAGGACAACGGCTCTTTCCTGGTCCAGGAGCCTGGGCCCTCTGCCGAGAGACTCTGCGCTGGGCTGGAGCGCCCTGCACAGTGCTCTCAGCCTCCCCGTGGTCTGGGCTCCTCGGATGTCAGCCACAGTCTCAGGGTGCAGGCCCCGAGCATGGCAGGGCACACGGAGTGCCCCTCGGCGGGGATGTCAGCATCACCTCGTCAGAGCCTGTGGAGGTGGGACGCAGCAGCTGAGAGGGTCTGGATCAAGGGAACAGCGAGGCGTAGCGCCGTTGGTTTACTTCTGTGCGGGGAGGCCCGACGAGGGTTAAGCAGCAGATGGAAAGGGAGTCTGTTCTGATATTTCAGAGTCCCTTCCGTGTAATTGATGGTGCTGCTTTGGGTATTAATTGTGTTTTCCAAATTTAGGAACTAACTCTCCTTTTTCTGCCAGGGGGGAAAACAAAAAGACAAAGAGGGAAAAGGAAATCTCTGAGATATTGAAAGGATTCATTCTCCTCCCCACCCCGTTTAATAAATAGTGAGTGAAACTGGAATGTGGAAAACAGTTTAAAATTAGGGGGTGGGTGGGTAGCGCTCTACATCTCAAACATCTCTTGGGCTGAAGATGCGGCCCATTGCTGACAACCTGTTGGGCACTACAGTCCTGCATTGGTGCCACCGAGGTTCTCAGGGAGGAGGCGCTGTCGCTGGCCCAGACCTTGGGCGGGGGCTTGGGCAGAGAGCAGGAAATGGCAGGTGGGATTTTGGCATCTCTCTTGTGCCTGCTGGAACTGAAACCTCTCGCTCTTGGGGAGAGAAGGCCCTCCCTGTGCCTGGTGCTGGCGGCCAGTGTGTGGGGGGCTTTCCTTTCAGCGCCAGGGCCACCAGCGGGGTCACCAGATGGCTGAGTGAGCGGCGCTCACCACCGAGATGAGCATCGAGAGGGTTTCTCTTCCTTTCTCCTAGTGTCTTGCCGTCGTTGGGCCTCTTATAGCTCAGGTAGATAATCTGTGTAAAGCTGACCAGCCGATGCCACGCACACGTGCACACATGTGCACGCACACACAGACACACACACGCGCGCAGGGTCAGGGTAGAAACACTTGAGGCCACACTGGGACACTGACTGCACCCTTCCTTCCCCTCCTAGTGCAGGAGCTGTTCTTCGTGGTTCTAGTATGTCTCACATTCATTCTGAAATGGCTTTGACCACTTTTAAACTTGAGGTATGTGTAGCAGTTAGAGTCACCCTTCTCAACCTCTGTGAAGGATGCCCGGAGCTCACAGCTCTCCCGGGAGTCCCACTGTGGAGCCCTACCGGCGGCAGAGCGTCGAGTTGTGTTGGCTCCTGGCTTTTGTGTTTCTGTGATGATTCTGTGAGTCCAGGGCCGAGCGTCCTGCCCCTCGGCCCGTGTGCACCAGCCTCCATCTGTGCTGGTCCCTGGAGGGGTGTCCAGTGAGCCAGACACACCATTTTGAAGATTAAGTATTTGGAAGTAGCATCGAATCTGGCACTCTTTGTGGTTACAGCCTTGTTGCTGTGATTAGAACTTTCCCTTTGGGCCCTTTGCACTGTGTTTGCTAAGGTGGAGTGAGAAAATGAGAAGACACTCACTTCCACGATGGCATCAGCGGTTGGGTCTCTGTGCAGGAGGCCGCAGGGAGCCTCCGAGAAGGGCCAGGCTTTCTGGGGCTGACAGAGGCCCACGACCAGGACTCCCCTGCACAGGAGGGTCCAGGGCTCAGCCCTCTCAGGCGCTTGCCCCGCTGGTGTCTGCCGCACGGCTGATTTTTCTTCTCTTTTTAGATAAACAGTGGCTAGTGAGGGAAAGATGACAGGAGTTCTGACATCACCCCCTAGAAGAGCCCTGAAGTTCAGGCGGTCAGGGCTGGTGTACTCCGGATGCTCTGCAGTAAAAGGACAGGCTTGCAGAACACTTAAATTAACTATGCACTTCAGTGTTAGAGATGAGGAAGGAGGAGCCCCGACACTGCAGGAGCGCTCATATAGTTCGTGCCTCAGTGTGGGAGACTGAGCTCCTGAGTGGCTCAGGTTTTTATTGAGTTTTCTTGATTTATCTGTTTCTGACCTGTTTCTTAGGGGTTGGACATTTGGAATACTTACATGAAGTACTGTCACCAGCAGAATGCACTTTGAAGTAAGTCGTAGCATTCCTGTAACAGAGCCAAAACATTTGTGATGTCTAATTACGGAAGCAACGCACGGATGCGTTCTTGTTAAGACAGTGTCCCCCAGGTACGGGTGAAGTAGCCATTTCCGTGGCCTGGTTTCAATGCTAGTCCTCCTCCTCTGGGGAGACCACGTTCTGTGCGTCTGCCGCTGGCCGGGTGCTCTCTGGTTGCCGGGGGCCCACTGGTAGCGGCTTTTACCCGTGGTCCGGTTGTGGTTCGGATTCGGTGCCCGTTGAGAAGAGACCGGCTGGCGGGTGGACGGGTTGCGCTGATGGCTGTTTCTCTTCAGCAGGCGGTTCCGGCAAAGGGGGAGACGAAGCAGGACCGCTGCCTGAGAGCTGAGCTGCTGAGAGAAGGTAAGGCTGTGTCTGGTTGTGTGGGGCTGGCCTGAGGTCCTGGTCCCTGCGCCCGGGAGCCAGTGGGTGCGGGGCAGCTTGTTGAGTTGGTCGCCGACCGCTGTGGGCTGTGGCCTGGTCGGTGCTGGGCGTGGTGGGCACAGAAGGTGATCTGCTGAGTGAGGGGAGCCCCCCTCAGGCATGAGCCATGACTCTGTTGGTGTGACGTCCTGTGCAGGTGAATCTGGGGGCTCTGGAAACAGCGGAGGTGCCAGGAGGCAGAGGGAGGCTGGCAGGCAAGGGGGTGTTTGCAGAGGGGAACTTTGCGGGGCCTGGCTACCCTGGGAGGAGCCCTGGTGGGAGACGCAGGGCTCTACGTTTGTTAAGGCTTGGGGAACAGACAGGTGAACCCCGCTGTCTCACACGTGGGCCACCAGGGTGCTGACCAAGGTGCTGACCAGGCCACTGGGGAGTAGCATCTTGACCGGACACCATGCGACAGGAGGCCCCGGAGCGATGTGGGCACTGGACTCTGCTTGGCTGCATCTGCATGGGGTTGGGCATGCGTTCCTGGGACAGCTGGGGCGGACATGAGGGCTGAGCACATGAGACCGTGGGAGGAGCCCTGCCAGCGATGGGGCCGTGCTCCTCCTGGCGCGGCCGCTGCCCCGGGCACCGTGAGTCTCCCAGTGTTGGGTTCCTGGGAGCAGGGGGCTTGTGGGGTCAGGGACCTTGCTGCCCAGGGCTTGTCCAAACCCCACTCCCTTCCAGGTCAGACACCTGCTCTCTGAGGGGCTGGCTCAGGTCTGCCCTCTGTCCTGGGGGCGTCTTTCCCTGGCAGCCAGGCCTGTCCCTGGTGGACTGATGGCCGTGGCCCTGCCCTGCATCCTGTCTTCACCTTCACCCCGGGTTCTTCCCCAGCCCACCTGCTCTTGCTGCCACACCCCTAACTGGCCCCGGGGCGCTCGCCTCCCAGAGCTGCCTGTCCCTTTGTGCATGTTGGCAGAACCTTTGGAGACCTCGCCTAGTGTTCTCCTGGTGCTGTCCTCCCCCATGTTCCGTGAAACGTGCTCTTCATGGGCTCCCACCCTCTCTGGCTCCCCCTCCCCCTGGCTCCCCTCCTGGGGCCTTTCCTAAAGGAAGGTATGGGTGAATGCTGCCAGGTGCCAGTTCCTCCTCACTCGGCCCCTGAGCCAAGGCCTTGATGTTCCTTCGGAGGAACCTCCAGGCTGATTCCTGCGGCAGCTGCCCGCTTGGACACCCCCAGCGGTGAGGAAGGCTCCTGACAGCCCTTGCTGGTTCCCGCCTTCCTCACTGCAGCCGCCCTGGGGGCGGGCAGCGCAGTCTCTTCGTGCTCTTGAGTCTCCCTAACGGCTGGTGGTGCTGAGCATTTTCTTCTTGTGCACCGGCCGTCTGTGTACCTTCCGTGGAGAGGTGTCTGTTCAGACCCTTTGCCCATTTTAAAAATTGGTTGTTGATTTTTACTGAGGGAGTGCCAGGTTCTTAAAAACATGCTGCTGACACAGGCTCCTTATCAGATGCGTGATTTGCAGAGATTCTCTCCAGCCTGTGGGTTGTCTTTTCCCTTTCTTGGTGGTGGCCTCTGAAGCTCAAAGTAAAGTCCAGGCTTCTCTCCGTTTTTCTCGTTGGTTGCTTGCGCTCTTGCGTGTAAGAGACCATTGCTTCACAGAAGGTCGCAAAGATGTGTGTGTGTGTTTGCGTCTGACGCTTGGGTCTTGGACACACTTCGTGGTGTGAGGTGGGGTCCGCTTGTCCCAGCGCCACTTGTTGAGAAGACTGTCCCATTGGACTGTCCTTGCGTCGGTCGGGAATCACGAGTCTGCAAACGCGAGGGTCATTTCTGTTCCCTGACGTCTTTCCTCTTGCTGGCGCCTGTGCCCTGTTGGTTTCTGTTGCTTTGTAGTAAGCTGCCGAATGGGGATGTGTCCGGCCTCCTTTTCAAGTTCGCCTCTTCTGGGTCCATATGAACTTCAGGGTCAGCTTGTCTGCGGCCAAGCCGGGCGGGATTTTGGTGTGGACTGTGTTGAGGTCACTTTGGAGGCACTGTGGTCTCAGCAACGCAGTGTCGTCCAACCCGTGGACGTGGGTGTCTTTCTGTTGATTCAGGTCTTTCATTTCTCTCAGTCATGTTTGTGGTTTTCAGTGCACAGGCCTTACACTGCTTTGTGTGTGTGTAAATGTATTCCTGAGTATTTTCAATGCTCTTTCAAATGCAATTTTACAAAGTGTCTTTTAAAATTTGCTCACTGATACATAGAATTGTATATAAAATACAATTTATTTTTGTTTATTGAACTCATATCTTGCAACCGTACTGAGCCTGTTTGTTACTTGTGGCTTTTCTGACTTCCTTTGGACTTTCTGTGTCTGATGTCACGTGGTCTGCAAAGAGACACTCTTTGTCTGAAGTCTTCTGCTGCTGGTGTGTGGTCACCCCACGCCCCCCCGGGGGCTGTGCGCAGTGTCTCCCCCATTGATTACATCTAGCCTGTCTGTGTCTTAAGACGCAGGTTTGAAGTGGTTTCTTGTGGGCAGGCGCGGTTTAACTAGGTCTGACTTTTGTGCCCGGTCGGGTGACGTCCGCCTTTGCACTGAGGTGTTTGGACCATGGATTTGTATTGTTCCTGTTGTATCCATTTTTTCGTTGCTCCCTTTTCCCTGTTGTTACATTCTTTTCGACTGAGTATGTTTTGTGACTCCTTATCATTGCCACTGTTGGCTTGTTAGCTGTCCCCTTTCTTTCTTTTCAGTGTTTGTTCTGAGGCTCGCAAATCCATCTTTAGTCAGAGTCTGCCTTTAAATGGTATTATGCCGCTCTGGGTATAACGTTTTATTTTAAAGATGGTCAGCTCCACTTCCCCTCTTGTCCTTAATGCTGTGGCTGCAGATCTTACTTCTGCAGATGTTATAATTCACACAGTCTGTTGTTACTGTGTTTGCTTTAATCATTCAGTTGTCTTTTAACAAAACTTAAGCAAGGATGTAAGCTCTTCTATATTTTCTTGGGTGTTTATCATTTCTGATACTCTTAGTTCCTTTTTGTAGGTGAGTTTCCATGTGGTGTCACTTCCCTCTCGCCTGAAGAATTTCATTGGGCATTCGGCTTGTCTTTCTGTTGGTCACCAGCTTTCTCAGCCGTCTGGCTGAGGTGCTGGCTGTGGAGCTCTCACGAGGCGGTTCGCAGACGGGGCCCCTTGTCTCTGGCTTGCTGGTGTTTCCCAGGAACCCACGCGTTCTTCTCTTCTCCTCTGTGTGGGGGTGCCTCCTCTGACTGCCGTGGGGTTTTGTCCCTGATTTTCAGCAGTTTGGTTATTGTTGTGGTTTGGTCCAGCTTCTGCTTTTCTTGACTAGAGTTCATTAAGCTTCACTGTTCCTTGATTTTACCGCTTTCACTAAATTTGGAAAATCTTTGGCAGAGAAACGTTTTTCAGCCATTACTTCTTCCAGGCTACATTTTTACTCCTTCTTGTCGTGGGCCCCGTGTGAGGTACTTCTGCCTGGGAGGCCCCACGGCTCGGCTCACTGGGCCGGGTCCTCGGCCTTCCAGCCTCTGGGCGCTGCTTGGCACAGGTGCCGAGGGTGTTCTGGGTGTTCCACCCCCTCTGCGGTGATGTCGTCTTGTGGTGGCTTCAGGACGTAGGCTCGCCGACCGCCATCTTCAGGAGCTCCACTGGGCACCAGGCCGTGTCTCTGTCTTGCCCTCCTCTCGCGGTCGGCGAGCCGCGCTTCCACCCTCTGCATCAGATCTGGGTGTTTGACCGACCACTTTTTCTCCTCATGGATTCTCCTGCTTCTCTTACGTGCCTCGTAATTTTGGGTTAGCTATTTTGAATTGTATTGTTGGTGGATTGACTATGATGTTGGATTTGGTTATTCCCCACCGCCCCCCCATTGTTGGATTTTTCCAGGGTGCTTGATTGACTTGCAGACAAGGACGGCCCTTCTTGGCCTGGCTGTAAGCCGTTTCAGCGCTGATGTGCCGTGACCGGCAGCTGGAGGCCACCTGGGGGGATCTGGCTTCTGTAGCAGGTGCAGTCGCACCTTCTTGCTGAGGTATTGGCCCCTTGGGGTCCCTCCTGAACGCCCGGCACTGGGACTTTCTCTCACCTGGTCGAGCTGCTGTTGCCCACCCATGTACGAGTCAGGATCGAGTTTTCTGACTCATGAGGAACCTGCGCTTCTCCGTTTATTTAATCTTCCTTGAACCGTGCTTGGCTGCGTCTGCTGCTCTTTGGTGTCCAGGCCTTGCCCTCTGGATTGTTTCCTGTCTCCTTGTGCTGCTGTACTTGGTGTTTAACATTTACTTTAGAACTGTTTATTGCTAGTATATGGATGTACAGTTTGTCTTCTGTAACTGAACTTTACTTTGGGATAATTGTAGATTCACACACAGTTATGAGACCCAAAACAGAGAGACCCCACGTCCCCTTTACGGTTTCCCCAGTGGTGGCATCTTGAGAACCGTTGCACAGGGTCACGACCAGGGTGTCGGCATTGAGACCGTCTGCCAGCCTCACTCGGGTTTCCCCGCTTCTGCTTGCACTCCCTGTTTCTCGGTGCGTTTTTATCACGTGCGTGGGTCTGTGCGTCCTCCACCGCCGCCGGTCTGCAGAGCGCGTCTGTGTTGCAAGCATCCTGCCTGCTGCTCTTCTGTGCCCACCGCCCCTCCCGTCCTGCCCTCGGTGTGGCCCTGGCGCCAGCGGCCTGTGCTCTGGGTCTGTGTGAGCAGGAGCATGCGGAGCGCTGCCTTGTGGGGTTGACTGTTTCCACTTGGAGCAATTCCCTGGGACTCTTCCCGGGTGCTGCTTCACCTTGAGCAGAGTCTGGGCGGCTGGGCCGCGGTCTGATAAGCACTTACTTGCTGAAGGGCGTCTGTTGCAGCCGTGGGACACCTGTGTCATGTCTGTCGGGCGCGACTTCATTTCTCTGGAAGAAATGCCACGAGTGCGTTTGCTTTCGCATGGTGGATGCGTGGCTTTGTGAGAAGTTGCCACAACTGCCCAAACAAACGCACAGCTTAGCATTCGCAGCATTCCCAGCGTCAGGGTACGAGGTCTTCAGCCTCTCCACGTGTTGCAGGCTCATCTCCTTAATCACAGCCATCCCAGAGGGCGTGAAGAGGCATCTCCGTGTGGCTTAGATTTGC